TTAAAATATTCCATATTATAAAAATAAATTTATATTTAATATTTAAAACTAATTATAAATATTTAAAATATTTAATAAAAATTTAAAAATTTAAAATAATTAATAATATGTAAAAAATCGTCTCGCTCAAGCTCATTTACAGAATTTTTGACCGACAAGCCGGGCTTGATAATATTTGCCTACCGGCCTCACCCTCACTCTCACCCACGAGAGATTATTTTGTGCGGATGCCAAACACAATTCACCGTTCGGAGACTATTCAGAATGCACCACATCAACAGTATGGAGCTGGGATCGAATAGTACCGAGCTACCATATTGAGAAGAGGATGATATGACGCGTTTGATTGATCTCCTATCTCCTAATAAGATTTGGCATCCGCAAAGGATAATTTCAGCTTACCCTCACCGTCACCCATTCTCTCTCCTGCTTTGATAATTATTCCACTGCCTACATGAAAAGCAAAAGAAAAAATCTCACAGTATTATAAATGCTAAAGAGTTTAAAATGGGAAATGGAGAATTAGGGACCTTTTTAATTTCCAGAATGATCGAATTGACTCCAAAGTCATGTAGGGAAGTTTCGCATTGTGCTCACCAAGCAGCTGTTGCAGTGAAGTTTCACTTTCTCTGACCTTTATGTAGTTAAAGATAGAATACCATAAAATTCTAATCTACCCCCAGTCATTTCCCAGTCCTCTCTGGTTCCTCCGCCATTTACTCCCTGTCTTCATCTTTCTCTCCAACTAAGGTCTCTTCTTTTCTTTCCTTACAGTAGTGCTGCTGTGAAGCTGCTAAGCTAGTCTCTCCATGTGTGTCAACGTTCAGTTCCAGTTCGATCCACTCAAATTTCTCACCGACGTATGGTCAGGCCTGTCACGGCAAATGGGATATCTCCGGGATCCCGGACCCAGAATTACTGAGCTCACCGAAGTCAATATCCGTCTCCAAGCCAAGCGCGAGGACATCAATGACAAAATCCGCTCCGCCGAGCGGCGTGGCGAAACGCCGAATCATGATGTCCAAGATTGGTTAAGAAAGGTCGCGTCCATTAACGAAAAGGTCTCCAAAATCCAAACTGACCATGAAAATAGCACCTTTTGTTGGTGCATCAACCGCCGTGCGGTGAAAAGCCTCGCTAAAGTTTGCGCGTTGGTTAATGACTCCAAATTTGGCAACGTTGCTACCAGGTTACCACCAAACGGAGTGCAAGAAGTCCCCGCCGAACTGCCGCCGGCCAATCCTACAATGCTCTCCTACCTCTCCCAACTCCATGATTTTCTCAATGACGACGAATCCCGAATCTTCGGCATCTGGGGCATGGGCGGCGTGGGAAAGACCACTCTTTTGCGCAGCCTCAACAAGGAGTTGCTCTGTTCATCAGAAGCAAGGAACGCACTGCCGATGTTCGACCACGTTATCTGGGCCGTGGCATCCAAGGACTACAAGCTTGAGAAGCTCCAGCGCGAAATCTCAAACTGGCTTCATCTACCGCCATGCGAAGATATAAACCAGCAGGCAATCGAGATTTGGCACTTCTTGGAAAACAAAAGCTTTCTTTTACTCCTCGATGACCTCTGGCAACCGGTAGAGTTAGCAGATTTAGGTATCCGCCAGCTTACCCAAAACGAAACTAAGAAGCAGAAGGTGGTGTTCACCACACGGCTCGAAGGTGTTTGTGGGCAGATGCAAGCTTGGCGCATGATGACGGTTGAGTGTCTAAACGAAGAAAAAGCATGGCGGTTTTTTCAGGACAAAGTCGGCGAGCAGACTCTCCAAGCGCACGCCATGATTCCACAGCTTGCACAAGTAGTGGCTAAACAGTGCGACGGGCTTCCACTCGCTCTTGTGCTCATCGGCTCCGCGATGAGCACGAAGAAAACACCAATGGAGTGGCGGGACGCCATTACCCTGCTTAAGAAGTCTCAACCGTTTGAAATCCAAGGCATAGGTGACAATATTCTTTCCAAGCTAAAGTTCAGCTACGACAATTTGACTGATAAAATTCTCCGCGAGTGCTTCCTGCTCTGTTCTCTGTGGCCGGAAAATCACTCAATTTCTAAAACCGAACTCATCGAATGCTGGATGGGGCATGGGTTGGTCGACGAAAAAGAGTTCGACAACATCAACGAAGCTTATGATAGTGGCCACGCGCTAATCGGTGGGTTGCAAGCTGCGTGCCTCCTTGAACCAGGGTATAACAAAGATAGAGAGGTGAAGATGCATGACGTGGTAAGAGATCTCGCTCTCTGGATTGCGTCAGATTGTGGTAAGAGACAAAAAAGATTCATCTTTCTTTCTAGCCTAACGGCTTCCGAGGATTGGCAGATCAGAGAGGCGGAAAAGATGTCGCTTGTTAGAAGCAATGTCAGCGACACATCTGGCCTTCCGTCCAATTGTTTCAAGCTGGAAACTTTGATGGTACAGGGAAGCATCTCCTTTAACTCAATTGTGACTGGATTCTTTCATGGTACTCCTGCTTTGACTTATCTCGATCTCTCCTACACCGCAATCTACGACCTGCCGCAGGAAATTGGCCTGCTTGGTAATCTTCGATACCTCAATATCTCCCACACAAACATTTCATCGCTTCCAGTGCAGCTCAGTAATCTCCGCGAGCTCAGATTCCTGCTCTTAAGGGATCTGGAATGTATCTTCATACCTAGCGGTTTGCTGGAGATGCTTGTAATGTTGTCCGTGATCGACATGACTAATACTTGGTGCGATAACTGGAAAGAGCTCTCTGTAGAGTTTGTATTTTCGGTGAGAGGAAGATCACCGGACTCAGAGAAGATGAACTCACAACAGGACAAAGACAGAAAGGATTTATTTCATTGGTTAACAAAAGCCAGAGTACGAGGACCTATTAATAGATAGAGAGTACACGTGTGTGCTTACAATTGGTTATCAAGAATATTATTTATATATCATTAGAACTAAGCTAAGTTAATTAGGTGCTAACATCCACCGCAAACTGTCGTTTCCTCTCTGATCGACAGTTTGAAGCGTAGCTGTTTGAACCGCAAAGGTAGGTAAGGGTTTGGTGAATATGTCTGCAATCTGGTCCACCGTGTTGATCGGTAATAGACTGATGGTTTTGTGATAAATGTGATCGCGAATGAATTTTTGATCGATCTTGATGTGCTTTGTACGAGCGTGAAATACTAGATTATTCGCCAATGCAATCGCCGATGTGTTGTCACAGTAAACTGCAACTGGGCTGTCGTGTTGGATGTTGAAGTCGGCGATGAGGCGCTTCAGCCAGATGGTGTCCGCTGTAGCTACGGTCAGCGCCCTGTATTTCGACTCCGTGAACGAGCGAGATACAATGTTTTGCTTCTTTATGGTCCAAGACACCAAGTTGTTGCCGAGAAATGTACAGAATCCTGACGTCAATTTCCGGGTGATCGAATCACCGGCCCAGTCCGCATCCGAGAATGTGCGAAGTGTCAAGGAAGATTTGGTGATTGGCAATCCGAAGTTGATAGTGCGGTGGATGTACCGAAGGAGACGCTTTAGGAGATGAAGATGAATTGGTTCTGGATCGTGCATATGTTGCGACAGAGTATTGACGGCGTGTGCGATGTCTGGGCACGTGATAGTGAGATACTGAAGGGCTCCGGTGATTCGGCGGTAAGTGGTGGAGTCCGCAATCGTGTTCTCTGGTTGAAATTGAGTGGGCTGTTTTGTAAAGGAAGGATTGGACAAAGAATTGTATTTGGTTAGATTAGTTTGTTGAAGCAGAGTTTGAGCATATGATTGTTGGGAAAGGAAGTACTTATCTCCTGTAGATTGTATGCTAATGCCAAGAAAATGACGGGCTATGCCGAGATGTTTCATGGTGAATTGTGAATTCAGTATGTGTAGAAGAGCTGCGATGGCCTCGTTGTCGTTGCCTGTAATCAATATGTCGTCTACGTATACTTGGAGAAAAATCTGAGTACGTTGCCGACGAAAGAGAAGAAGAGAAGGGTTTGCCTTAATGTGCTGAAACCCGATGTTAATAAGATGATTTGTGAATGTGGTATACCACTGCCGTGGAGCATGCTTAAGCTCGTAGATGGCTTTCTTGAGACAGCATACATGATCCGGATATTCGTTGTCTTCGAAGCCTTTGGGTTGCCGCATTAATACTATTTCATTTAGACTGTCGTGAAGAAATGCATTCGTGACATCTAGCTGCTGCACATGCCATCCATGATGCAGGGCAACGATGAAGAGGACGTGAATGGTGGGTAGCTTCGCCATCGGACTGAATGTTTCTTCATAGTCTAGGCCGTGTTCTTGGCGATTACCTTGCGCCACGAGACGAGCCTTGAATCTGGCTACCGTCCCGTCGGAGTTGAATTTCTTGCGAAATGTCCACTTGCAGCCTAGGATAGACGCATTCGATGGTGGTGGGATTAGGTACCATGTGCCTTGCTGTTGAAGAGCTGTGAATTCTTCTGCCATTTCTTGATGCCATTCAAGTTTCTTGATTGCTTCTGAGTAGCTCGTAGGGGCTGCTTGTTGCTCATGTTGAGTTAGTTGATGGAGCAGGTTCAGACGTCGAGTGGGTTTGAGAGAGCCAATTTTGGAACGTGTCGTCATGTGATGTTTGGTTGGTGGCACAATGTGAGCTGGGTCTTGTGCATAATTTGGTGTGATCCTTGTCGACGAGGTAGAATTGTCTGTGAGATGTATAGTAGATGCCTGGCGAGTTGGTCTAGTAGGAGAAGGAATCACTTGAGCAGATGTTCCTTCATGTGCTTTGGATACAGGAAGAAGCAGCTGCGTGGACGTGGCGTGAGTAGAAGGTAGTAGATGTTTGGATGGTTGCTGAAATGGAAACTTGTTCTCAATGAATTGAACATGCCGAGAGATGGTTATGTGACTGATTTCTTGGTTTAAGCACTTGTATCCTTTGTGCTTGTCCGAGTAACCTAAGAAGACACAGTTAGCTGATTTTGGTTGAAGTTTGGTGGAGGAATGTGGTGGAAGGAGCAGAAAACAGGCACATCCAATCGTTCTCATGTGATTATAGTCTGGTATAGTTTTGAACATTAGTTGGAGCGGAGAATTGTGTTGGTTAGTAGGCGAGGGAAGTCTGTTGATCAGATACACCGCTGTTTCCACCGCTTCAGGCCAGTAAATGTAAGGAATGGACGCAATCTGGAGCATTGTTCTGGCCGTGTCCAGGATGTGGCGGTGCTTGGATGTATATATTTCTCTCTCTCTCTCTCTCTGACATGAATGTAATGTCCAAAACGAATAGTATTTATAGATGGGGATTTGCATGGAAAATCAAAGGAACAAGTAACAGATATGCAAATCAGATTTCCTAAATCTCTTAAAAATAATCACCTGGTTCTTTTCACTTATACATATCTCATAAAAAATTCCAATAAATTCTAAATAAAAAAAGGAGATCTCTTGATATATCCACCAATCAAATTCTCTTTTTATTTTAGAAAAGTTTCGGAATACTCTTTTGGAACATAAAGTTTTTAGCTAAGGAACAATATGAGATAATGGTAATAGGAAAATCTTTATTTTTTTTCCTCTCCTAAAATAATAAGGAAAAAAAATTATTTAGAAGATCCTTAGCAGTCAAGCTTAATTTTTTTTTAAAATTTGTGGAAAAAATTAAAAAGGGTAGAACTAACATTTTAGTTCTTCATTTCAAGTAATTACCATTAACGGATAAGTACACTGGATCAAATAAATTATACTTCAAATAAGTTTCTCTTAAAAAAGGATTAAAGATCATGTTTTACTGGCTGAAAATTAATTTCTCTCCTAAACATGCTTTCATACAAATCTTTTGGCATATTACATATAAAATCTTTATAAACTAAAAACTCAGAAAATTATTCAACAAAAAAAAATCTAAATAAAACTTCACTTACCTCTCTTTCTCTCTGAATTCAAGGAATGATAGCTTCTGCACTTTCAATCTTCAGCATACTCCTGCTTTTAAAGGCGCTTCCCGTATAACCAGGGGCGGATCCAGCTTCTTTTTTCAGGGTGGGCAAAAAAAATTTTTTTTGTGGAGGATGGGCAAAGATGCTTAGGATTGATTAAATGAGGGCAAAAAAATTTTTTAAGAGGGGGCAAAATACTCAAAATACTCTAAATATTTCAAAATATCTCACTAAAATTAAAAAAAAAAAAAAAAATTTGAGGGGGGGCATTTGCCCCCCCTCAACTACATGGGGATCCGCCCATGCGTATAACTCCGAATGCCATCGGCATCTGCCAACCACTAATTACATGGTTGCACTGAATGTCAACCAACCAGCGCAATCTGCCCGCAAAAAACGGATCGGGTCGGCGATAACGCCAAAAAAGATAATGTTTCGTGAGTTGGCATTTGCGGGAACCACAGAATACGCCTAACTTTAAAGCGCATTCTTTGAATGAGCTTTAAGTATTGGCGCATTGTTTAAATGAGTGTTTAATGCTGGCGTATTCTACTAATACGCTTAACCAAATGGCGTAAATGCTGTTTTTAAAATTATTCCCCTATTACGCTTTTCCCCTAATATCGGCAACAACCGTGCTTCTTTCTAAAATTTTGCTTTTTTGCTGTTTTATAAAACTGATTTTTAGTTAAAAATTTTCAAATTTAAGAAATTTTTTTATTAGAAATCTGTTCTAGAAAACAACAAAGAAGTTGTTCCAAATGAAGCTTTAATTTTAGAATGTTATTTTTGTTGGTAAATTCTTAAATTCCAGAATAATCAAGTTGACTCCAAAGTCCTAAATTCCAGAATGATCAAATTGATTCCAAAGTCTTCAATTAAATTAAGAAACAAAACTCTGAGGCCTAGCACGGCAAAAAATAAAAAAATAAAAAGAAGAAGAATGACTCTGAAGTCTTGCACGGCAGTTTCCTTTTCTCTAAGCCTTATTTAATGAAAGATAGAATTCCATAAAATTCAATGCAACCTCTGCGAAAGTTGAGCTTACCTACCCCCAATCATTCTAAACTAATTGCATTAATATTATTTGGATAAATACTATGTGTTACCAAAATGACTATGTAAATTTTCCATTTATATTTTAAATAATTGTCATTTATTGTAATTAGGTTTTAATGATCATGATGACATACATATACATGTTAACTACTTTAAAATTAGATTCAATGATAAGAGAAATTAGCATAATTAAAAATTAATTAACAGGAATAATTTCAAATTGCAAAATCTCTTAGATACAAAAAGTTATGCAACCAAATAGTTGAAAAGATTGAGGGCGTCAAAATTTTCTAGCATGATTTATTAAATTATGATTTAAGAAATCAAGCCTGAAAGAGGATCCATCATCATTCTGACCTAATAGTTAATCCCGATCACCCATTCTCTCTTCTGCTTTCATAATTAATTATTCAACCGCTTGCAGAATGACCGAATTGACTCCAAAGTCTTGCAGAGAAGTTTAGCTTTGTGCTCACCACGAAGCTGTTGCAGGGAAGCCTTTCTCTGACCTTTATATAGTGAAAGATACTAAAATTCAGTGTAACCTTTGTGAAAGTTGAGCTAACCTACCCGAATTATTTTCCAGTCCTCTCAGCTTCCTCCGCCATTTACTCCCTGCCTTCATCTTTCTCTCCAACTAAGGTCTCTTCTTTCCTTGCAGTAGTGTTGCTATCAAGCTACTAAGCTAGTATCGCCATGTGCGTCAACATCCAGTGCGATCCACTCAAATTTTTCACCGACATATGGCCAGGCCTGTCACGGCAAATGGGATATCTCCGGGATCCCGGACCCAGAATTATTGAGCTCACCGAAGCCAATATCCGTCTCCAAGCCAAGCGCGAGGACACCAATGACAAAATCCGCTCCGCCGAGCTGCGTGGCGAAACGCCGACTCATGATGTCCAAGATTGGTTAAGAAAGGTCGCGGCCATTAACAAAAAGGTCTCCAAAATCCAAACTGACCATGAAAATGGTACCTTTTGTTGGTGCATCAACCGCCGTGCGGTGAAAAGCCTCGCTAAAGTTTGCGCGTTGGTTAATGAATCCGAATTTGGCAACGTTGCAACCAGGTTACCACCAAACGGAGTGCAAGAAGTCCCCGCCGAACTGCCGCTGGCCAATCCTACAATGCTCTCCTACCTCTCCCAACTCCATGATTTTCTTAATGACGACGAATCCCGAATCTTCGGCATCTGGGGCATGGGCGGCGTGGGAAAGACCACTCTTTTGCGCAGCCTCAACAAGGAGTTGCTCTCTTCATCAGAAGCAAGGAATGCACTGCCGATGTTCGACCACGTTATCTGGGCCGTGGCATCCAAGGACTACAAGCTTGAGAAGCTCCAGCGCGACATCTCAAACTGGCTTCATCTACCGCTATGCGAAGATATGAACCAGCAGGCAACCGAGATTTGGCACTTCTTGGAAAACAAGAGCTTTCTTTTACTCCTCGATGACCTCTGGCAACGGGTAGCGTTAGCAGATTTAGGTATCCCACAGCTTACCCAAAACGAAACTAAGAAGCAGAAGGTGGTGTTCACCACACAGTTTGAAGGTGTTTGTGGGCAGATGCAAGCTTGGCGCATGATGAAGGTTGAGTGTCTAAACGAAGAAGAAGCATGGTGGCTTTTTCAGGACAAAGTCGGCGAGCAGACTCTCCAAGCGCACGCCATGATTCCACAGCTTGCACAAGTAGTGGTTAAAGAGTGCGACGGGCTTCCACTCGCTCTTGTGCTCATCGGCTCCGCGATGAGCACGAAGAAAACACCAAGGGAGTGGCGGGACGCCATTACCCTGCTTAAGAAGTCTCAACCGTATGGAATCCAAGGCATAGGTGACAATATTCTTTCCAAGCTAAAGTTCAGCTACGACAATTTGACTGATAAAATTCTCCGCGAGTGCTTCCTGCTCTGTTCTCTGTGGCCGGAAGATCACTCAATTTCTAAAACCGAACTCATCGAATGCTGGATGGGGCATGGGTTGGTCGACGAAAAAGAGTTCGACAACATCAACGAAGCTTATGATAGTGGCCACGCGCTAATCGGTGGGTTGCAAGCTGCGTGCCTCCTTGAACCAGGGTATAACAAAGATAGAGAGGTGAAGATGCATGACGTGGTAAGAGATCTCGCTCTCTGGATTGCGTCAGATTGTGGTAAGAGACCAAAAAGATTCATTTTTATTTCTTACGTAATTGCTTCCAAGGATTCACAAGCAGCGGTAGAAAAGATGTCGCTTGTTGGAAGTGAAGTCGGTGACACATCCAGCCTTCCGTCCAACTGTTTTAATCTGAAAACGTTGATGCTACAGGGAAGCATGTCCTTTATGTTAATTATGAAAGGATTCTTTCAAGGGATTCCTGCTTTGAATTATCTCAACCTTTCCTGCACGGCTATCCACGAACTGCCCCAGGAAATTGGCCTGCTTCGTAATCTTCGATACCTCAATATCTCCTACACGCAAATTCGATCGCTTCCATTGCAGCTCAGTAATCTCGTCGAGCTCAGATTCCTGCTCTTAAGAGATCTGGAAAATATCGAAATTCCTAACGGTCTGCTGGAGAAGCTTGTGATGTTGTCCGTGATCGACATGACTGATACTTGGTGCAAAAATTGGTTTGAGCTCTCAAGGCTGCGTGGTTGTTTGAAAGGCGTGGGGATCGTTTTGGAGAGCATTGAAGATCTGCACCGGCTTGCCCAGCTCCCAAATGTACTGACTTGGCGGCTGGGGCTGAGGAAATTGGTGGGATTCAATGAGCCACTACACCTTCTCTCGCCTTTGCAGCTAGGGAGCCACAACATTCGTTTCAGTATTCATATGCTAAAAATTGAGTTATGTGAGAGCTTAGAGGTGATGTCCATGGAATGTGATGGTGGCGGCGATAAGTGTTCCCTATCAAGGTTGGAGGAAGTAGAGCTCAGGAGCTTACCAGAGCTAAAGGAGATTGTTTGGAGAGGAGTTTGTCCTGCGGAAATGCTACCGAGTTTGACTATGCTGACGATTTCCGGTTGCCACAACTTGTCAAGCCTCTCGTGGGTGATCCGATTACCGAGCTTGGAAGATCTCAGTGTGTACCGTTGCAGCTCAATGGAGCAAATAGTTGATGCTGATAATGAAATCAGTTTCGATGGTGAGGAGGTGAATGACATTGGAGCGGCCAGTTGGGCATTCCCAAGTCTTAGGAGGCTCTCCTTGAGGGATTTGAGAAGATTGAGAGTTTTTGGAGAGTCATTTGCGTTCCCTTCATTGGAAATCATTTATGTGATTAATTGCCCGAAGCTGAAGGCGCTACCTTTTGGGAAGGAGATAAGGAATCTGAAAGTGATTTGGGGTGACAGACAGTGGTGGAAGAATTTGGACATGCAAGACGAAGATAGGGCTGCGCTTCAGCCATATTTGAAAGAGTAATTGCCAGGTGGAGGAGGTGGAGGCGGCTGCACAGTTACATCTATGGTGGACTAACAATATTTTTGTTGTTTCTTATGGAGGGCTGTTATTTCTTTTTCATTTTTACTTGTAATGTTTTTTTTACTCAGTAATAGATGAGCTTATGCCCAAATTTCTATTCTGTTTAATATTTTTAAATAAATATTAAAAAAAATTAATTTACATTTAGAAAAAAAGCTCTTTGTTATGAGGTTTTTTATTTAGAATTATTTCACTATAGGAAACTTTCTTACCTGCAAATTGAATTCGCCGGTAACAATGGAAATCCACCGGAAATTTTCATTTTCCTTCAAATTTCAAGTGAAATTCGCATTAAAAAATCTAAACTGACAAAAATTTTATACCAAAAATATGTCTAGTCGATTTTTCGGCACAATTTCGACGAAAAAAATGAAGGTATACGTCAGTTTCTCTTGACAAATTTTAGTGATTAATCCGGTGGTATTTCTGGCAGAAAAGTTGATCCACAAATACTGGCGAATAATCCGCTGCCCTGATCTGCTGGAGTTATCGGCATAAAGGATCCGCTGCACCAAATTCATTTCTTCGTATCTTATTGCCGACGAATTTTCATCAGAATATTCGCTGGAAACCTGTAGCATAAAAAAAAAGTCTTCCCTTTTAGGAAACTAATTTCTACAATACAACATTCATATAAAAATTTCAATGCTATATACATTCAAACATAAACATCTAACCAAAGATATCATCATATCACCAAATATTGAACATAAACTAAAAGAAGAATAATACGTCTTAGCATTGCGTGGATATTTAGCTCACACACAGAAAAACACAAGATTTTTTACGTGGATAACCCTTGAAAGGGGAAAAATAACGGGGTCTAGCCCAGTTGAAAATTATTAGAACATCAGAATGAAACTTCTATACATTTTTAGCGTTGCATGGATATTCAGCTCACACACAGAAAAACACAAGATTTTTTACGTGGAAAACCCTTGAAAGGGGAAAAATCACGGGGCCTAGCCCAGTTGAAAATTATTAGAACATCAGAATGAAACTTCTATACATTCTTGATGTCCTATAAGAGGCGGACACGTGTACAACATATATCTGTAATGTATGTTTCAAATCTATTTTCATACCTTATGTTTTGATGATTGACAAACACTATTGACTCTCTTGAACTGCCTGTTACTTCTAACTTTTCAGGAATCGAAGATCGGACAAACAAACAGAGCCTGTTCAAGATTGCGTAGGTCTAGGGTTGAGTCAGTCTGTACTTTATTTTTTCTCTTCTTGAGTCAGTTTGTAATGTCAAAGAGACTGATACTAAGTAACCCTACACACACACACACACACTTAAGAGACTTAGAATCTCTGTTTTTGCTCATATCGGCCAGGCCGATCCTTGGATCGTTCTGGACGATCGAGTTCAAAGTAGAGACTCTAATCAGGATTCTTAATTAGGGCAGCCGTCATTAACATATCGGCCTGGGCGATACGTGTATCAACCAGGACGATAAGCTCAAAACAGAAAGAAGTTGCCGCCATAGACAATTAAGGTATATTGTATTTTTAAATTATCGGCCAGGACGATTATTGATCAGCCTGGACGATATTCACAATTATGCCTTAATTAATCAGGACAAATTAGGGAAGCAATTAAGGATGATTGATACGATCACATCGGCCTGGACAATCGCAGGATCGACCAGGACGATATAGTCAAAATCCTTAGTTACTCTTGGACGATCGGGATCGGCCAGCATGAAAACAGGGCGATGCTCAGGACGATTTTCCTCTGAATTGAACAAATCGGCCTGGACGATCGTGAGATCGTCCAGAACGATCAAGCCAAATTTCAATCGTCCAGCACCCAAAACAGGGCGATGCCCAGGCCGATCTTCTGAGTTTTGTACTGATCGGCCAGGACGATGTCAATATCGGCTTGGACGATATAGTCGGCAACTTGCAATTAATGAGCTCCTTTGAAGCTCTTCTATTTAAGAGTTCTTGTTCAACATTTTTTAAAGGAGAGTCACGAGTTTAGTGCAATACTTGGAGGGCGCCTCCGGGGAGTGGACGTAGGTCGAGTTGACCGAACCACTATAAATCTCTGTGTTCTTATTTTTGCTTCCGCACTTTTAATTTCCGCATTTATTTTCTTGTGGTGATATCTGGTTTTGTCTTGTGTTGAAAAGATTTTTAAAATACCAATTCACCCCCCTCTTGGTTAGCTTGGGACTAAGTTCATAGGGCTTAACATCCCGAACGAACTTTCAAGTGGAATCAGAGCACTTTCTAGTGTCATCTGAGCACTTTCAATGTATCCTCTGGGTAATAAGATGAGCTTCTAACTCTTTACCATTCGCTCCATCCTTCCTTTACATTCTTGTGTCTCTCAGTAGTTTGCGATCACCAGGTTTCTTCATGATATCGAGAGCCAGTCGCTCCTAATCTCCCTCCCTCCCATGGCAAGCTCGGGCTCAGCTTTTTCGCACAACGGCAATGTCTCCGATGGTCAATTGGTAAAGAATCTGATCGATCCATCTCTCAAATTCGTCATTTCTAACCTACGTTCGATTATTCCTCATCCCCTCTCCTCCGACAACTACCCGATTTGGAGCAAGCAGATCATCAAACTTCTCAAGGCAAACAACTTTGAAAGATTTCTTGAAACTTCTTCCGACACCGCGCATTCCAATCAAGATCAAGAAACAGAAAATGAAGATTTGACTCATATGCGTACAAAATGGCTTATCACTGACCAGAAACTTGCGCCGGCCATCTGCTCAACTATATCTCCACAGATTCTACCTTACGTAGTGCAACTTGAGTCCACCGTCGAGATTTGGAAAGCTCTCCAAACAAGATTTCAATCGACGAATTGCTCAAAGGTGATTCAGCTCAAAAATGAGTTACACAACATTTCCATGAAAAAATATGACCATGAATCAATATCTCACTAAAATCAAGAAGCTGGTCGATCAAATTGCATATGTCGGCGCCAAAGTAGATACATAGGACATCCTGCACTACATAATCAACGGACTCCCGTAGTCCTATAACTCGTTCAAAACCACCTTTCACACAATACAATCGCCAATGACTCTAGACAATCTATATGTGCTTCTTGTTAGTGAGGAGATTCACATTCAAATGGATGCGTCAAAACACCAATCCATGCCGGACAACACCACTGCATTATACATGATTAGAGGAAGAGGAAGATGTGGTCGTGGACGGCCAAACCCAAATGGTACTCAACAACAGCGCTAAGGGGCTGTCTCCAATCTAGTTTGTCAAATCTTCATGAAGAAAGGACATACCGCTAATGTGTGTTGGCATAGGGTAAATCCCAACTACATTCCGACATCAAACTCCTCCAAAAACAGCAATGCTTTGCTTGCCACAGGTGATGTATCTACAATAGATTGGTATCTTGATTCAGGTGCGTCATCTCATATGACACACATGCACAATAATCTTGATCAAGTTAGAGAATATCAAGGATCAGACACCATTACTATTGGGGATGGAAGGACAATCCCCATAGCTCACTCGGGCTCGGGCATCCTTCCCACCCCGTCTCGTAAGCTTCATTTAGCACAACTCTTACATGTCCCGTCTATCTCCCATAGTATTTTATCCATTTCAAATTTAGTCAAAGATTTTAAGATATCCATTATATTTGATTATAACGATTTCTTTTTTAAGGATTTACTGACCAACAAAATACTCCTCAAAGGTCCATGTAAGAATGGACTGTACAGGATTCCGCTCAAGAATAACTGATCCAAGCAAATGGCTCTGTCTGCACAAAGCATCACGGTGCAAGATTGGCCCAATAGACTTGGTCATCCCAATCACAGGATTCTCCGTAGCATTTCTCGCAATGACTCCACATTGCATATACCAAATTCTTTACCATATTGTGTATCTTGTAAAACAATTAAAAGTCATAGAATAACTTTTCCGATATCTGAAAATCGCAAGCAAGACATTCTTGAACTTGTTCACTCGGATGTGTGGGGACCGTCTACGATTCCCTCCATCAAGGTTTTAGATATTATGTAATTTTCATGGATGATTGTACTCGATTTATCTGGTTTTTCCCACTTATGCATAAATCTGACGTTACAAAACATTTTATTGACTTTACAATTTTTATTGAACGACAAACTAACAAGAAACTCAAAGCAATTCGAATAGACGGTGGGCGTGAATACATCAACACGCAGTTCAGACAATTCACCCAATCGAGAGGAATTTTTCATCAAACATCATGCTCGTACACTCCGGAGCAAAACGGCTTGCCGAACGTAAGCACCGGCACATACTGGAAACAATAAGAACTTTGTTGGAGACGACATACATGCCTCATACTTACTAGGTGGAGGCAGCGGCAACTGCGATGTATCTCATCAACAGGCTTCTGGCAACCACCACAAAACAAATCTCTCCTCTTCAACTGATGTTTAATACATCTCCCTCATACAATCACCTATGAACATTCGGATGCGAATGTTACCCGTTAAACCTATCTCACGGTCGCACAAAACTTCACCCGAAAGCTTACCCATGCGTATTCATGGGATACTCTGAAAAACAGAAAGGTTACAGATGCATGAATAAAGATACTAATCGTATTATTATTTCAAGGCATGTGCAATTCAACGAATCTCAATTTCCGTTTCAACATCACACCACCAGCACCCCGATCAAAGAAGCGTATCTACCTCCTGCTCTGCTCATTCCCACATATGTCCATGATATTCAAAACAATAATCACAAGATCAATTCTACCCAGCACAACTCGCCTTCCAAACCAATACCCACTATTCCTATAACTCACCATACAGACTTCCTCTGTGATTTCACCACCTCACCTGAACACCAACCACCTAATAAGCACCCAATGATTACCCGGTTTCAAACTGGCTCCATCAAGCCAACCAAGCGTCTCAATTTTCTACCCAAAACTGCGGATCATCAAATTTAACACGATCCCACCAACTATAGTGAAGAAAACAGAGACTCGGAATGGAGGAAAGCAATGACGTCTGAATTCTTAACTCTTCAACAACAAGGGACTTGGTGTTTAGTCCCATATCCACCCAATGCATCAATTCTAGGATGCAAGTGGAC